TAAAGGTTGGCTTCAGCGTAAAGATCTTTGGGAGCATTAAACGGTAAGCCTCAATCTCTTCTGCAGTGCGACTCTCGTACCACTGTCCGAACACCAGAATGACGGGGTTTTTAAAACTGTCTACCGCGAAAGGAGCCTTTGATCTCGAGGATCATAACATGTTAGCATTAATAATGTGCTGAATTGCAAATGAATGTAATAGAATATTATGGCGGTGATGGCGGTATCAAAAGCAATGATGTGGCTGGGAACAGCGGTTCCCCCCCCCCCCCCCCCATGTGTACTTTCTAAGTGATTCCACGAGCATGCTTAGAAGATAGAGACAGGATAAATTCGGAAAACAAAAATAGCCGGAGTCGCTGAGGAAATCTCGTCTGATAGGAATTGTTTCATTTTTAGCGCCACGATACTTTTTAAGTGGAAATGAACTAGCTGATTGGTTTGCTGGCAGGGCCACGGTAGGTACAGGAAAAGCAATGGACTGGGCCAACATTCTTACTGCTCTCAATGAGGCAAGGCGGGACGAGAAGATGATTCAGGAGACATGGTTAAATCGGCAACACTCAAAAGACTACAAGAACTTTAGGTCAAAAGAGGTGTCGCCTAACATGAACACTACACAGGTAGCCAAAGAAAAACAGTAAACCAACACATAACTGGTGTTAACAGTCGCTACACGCTGGAGGATATACTGAAGATAGGATCCGCTCGCTAGTGGACTTTTACGATTTGCAGTTAGGATAATATGTCGATTCACTAACTAACTAACTAACAAACTAACTAACTAACTAACTAACTAACTAACTAACTAACTAACTAACTAACTAACTAACTAACTAACTAACTAACTAACTAACTAACTAACTAACTAACTAACTAACTAACTAACTAACTAACTAACTAACCAACCAACCAACTAACTAACTAGCTAACTAACTAACTGTCAGTTTGTGGGAACGACACCATGTACTAGATTCACCAAGAAACAGCAGATCAAGTGGTTTGACCATCTCGTTAGAAAGCAGCAACATCAACTACCATCACAGACATTTCATCTCAGAACAGCTACAAGAGCAAGAGAACGGCCACGAAAACATGGATCGACAACATTAAAGACAGTTCACTTCTTCATGACATGACAATAGCCAGGCCAGCCAGCTTGCACTGGATAGCAAATCATTTCTCCCCACGGCGCTTAACGGCAGATGTGGTGTTTTTGATTATGGTTAGGTTAGCTGCGTATCCTTTACAGGACGTTGCAGAACCAACCCCAACAGCCCTGGCTGTTGTGTGGTTTTCTAGGCAAATTTACGTCCGGTAGTTTGCCATTGCCTCCTGGACGGTCAGATTTCTTGATACCAGTGTCGAAACCAACGCAGCTGGGATCGAACCCGGCATCCCGGCATTACGAAGCGCTGACATCGACTTAGCCACAGAGCCGACTTTTGATGATGATGAAGAAATAAACACTCAAAAAGAACTTCTAAACATTGTTAGGACACAGGGCGCTGTCCTCATACAATTTGTCTTGGGGGGGGGGGGGGGGCGGCACAAGTGGTCTAAGTCCCCCAGGCTCCTGCGGCCCTACGTGCATTCTTTTGTAAGTCAAATACCCGAGGTTTAGACCGGATTAGAACACCCTAGGACCAGGGATGGGGGCTTCCTTTTCACTGGTCGCAACACGTGGCCCAAGTATTTTACCTTGACACCGGGTCACGACACTTGATATTTCCGCGCTTGGTCAGCCCATCGGCTAGCCCAGGGATTCCCAGATTATGAATCACTATGTACCACATAGCAAATCAAAATATAAATCTTTGAAGAAGAAACTAAAATTACTGTTGAATAACTACGGTCCACAATTAACCATAAGTGGAACTATTAAAACGAAGTAACAGAAAAATCGGCACTCATAGGTTCAACTCATAGAAAGAAGTAAAAGGATAGAAGAACACACCAGACAACATAAAAATCGAAAGCTATAGTCACCTCCAGACGGCGTTTGCGCCTCGCTATGAAAACAAGCGCATTAAGAACATGGTCAATCAGGGACCCCCACACCCCCCCCCCCCCCAAAAAAAAAGGTGTCTTATTGGCCATGTCTATCGTACAGCTTGAAATCCACAAATATGGAATACGGATATAATTTATTTCAAACCATTGAAATGGCACCACAGGTTACAGAAATTTATGTTAACGAAGCATATGTCGAAAAACACAGCAACAATTAACGAACAGAGTGGACCTCAATGCTTTGTCTAGAATACACAAACATTTAGGAAAGGTATTTATTTATCTATTAAAACCAAGACAGGCGAATTCTTATCGTAGCAATACAAATGTATACAAAGGGGTGGGGGTTGGCGTTCAGCCCCGTAAAAACTTTTGGTAGGGACTTAGTTTGTTCAGCCAGTTGCTCATTGTTTACCAGCATAATAATTAAAATAAGTTGCTGAAAGCTACAAATTTAAAGATACAGTTTTTAAAAATTTGAAATTTACGATTAAATACTTTAGATAATTCTAATGTTTAAGCCCGCTACTTCCGACGCCCTCCGATACAAGTTTTATCCAACCAATCTGCAGGATTCACGTGAATTACAAGCTGATTACATCCTATATGCAGTGTCACACACTAGGTTGATTTGTTAGCCTATTGAAGGGACCAAAAGAATTCTGATGCGCAATCCCCATGGAATTAAACATTTCCCTCTAGCTATGTCAGTAAGTGGCGATGGGAGGGATCTCCATGGCCATGCCGTTCACCTCGCGCTGTGAAGTTTTGTGAATAAGTTTCAAGGCTGTGTCGTTCAGTTCACGAGTGCAATTTATTTGGAGATCACCTGGATCGTCGTCGGAGCGACGAAGTTCGTGTTGTGTGCGACGCTTTTAGTATTCGACTATTCGTTCTGCGCAGCGAATGACCGAGGCATGTTTAGGTTACACTACAATGCAATGAACTCGACCCTCTTGTCTTTAAGTAAATACCGTAATTAAAAGACTCCTTTCATGTCGTTGCCGCATCGGGTACGGGCTACCGGATCTATATTGTTTTACAGAGACAAGTCAGCACCCGATAGGGTAAACATTCTATCACCGCCTTTACTTTCCAAAACATTACATTCTACCCATTTTAGGCTGTCGGAGTCAAGGCCATTTTTAAAAATCCGTCTTGACGATTATTTGAATCCTAGACCTTCGGGATGGAGTAATGTCTGCCTACCGATGTCACAAATATAGTGAAGTCCTTTATAGTGCTTCGATGATATGGTCGCGAGTGCGTTGGTAACGAGATTTTCATCACCACATTTCAGAAGTTTCACTACCAATCAACCAGACAGTTTCAGCAGCCAGACAAAGAATTAATCAGGCCAAATGCACTTCTCAAAACCACTCAACCGACCAAACAACCAACCACCCAAGCCTAATCACCAGCCAATTAATCAAGCAATTACCCCCCCCCCCCAAGCTAATCAGTCAAATAATCAGGCAACAACCAAGCCCAACCATCAACGAGTTAATCAAGCAACAACCCCCCCCCCCCACCAATCAGCCTATTAATCGAGCAATAACCAACTAAACAAGCCTAATCACCAGCCGATTAATCAGGAAATAACCAACCCCCAAGCCCAATCACCAGCCGATTAATCAGGAAATAACCAACCCCAAGCCAAATCATCAACCGATTAATCAGACAATAACCCCCCCCCCCCCCAAACAGCCGATTAATCATGCAGTGCCCAACACCCAAACCCGAGTCCTCAGCTGATTAATCAGGCAATAACCACCTCCCAAAGCCAATCATCAGCTGAATAATCAGGCAATAATCAGCCCCAAGCCCAATAATCTGCTGATTAATCAGGCAATAAACACCCCCCCCCCTTTTCCCCAAGCACAATCATCAGCCGATTAATCAGGCAATAACCAACTAGTTCGTTAACAAAATTGTATTTCTTCTCCAGGACTGCAGTCTGTAGGATTAACATCTCAAAAATGAGAATCAAACCAGTATAAATCCTAAAACCCCGTTTAACCGCAAAGCCATTTGTAACAGGTATTTTGGAACACAATAAAACCATTACAAAGAAACATGTAGTCCAGTGTGGATGTGTGATGTTATTGACCGTTTCGATTAAATTTAAACCTTTCCGTCACACATAGCTTGTCCTCTAATATAATTTGAGAACCACTGGGTCAAGCAGTTAGAAACTTGTGTGACCTACTTTTGCAGATGAAAATAACTCTGGGATAATTTATCCCTTTCTAATATTAAAAAAAAAGGGGGGGGGGGGGGGTTGGGGCTAGTTGGTAATCCTTCAATAAGGAGTGGACTAACAATGACCCTTGATTATGGGTAATTAACTCCTGTAAATAGCCGGATTAGAACATTGAAAAGTTATCACAAACAAACTAGGGAGGTCAACGTAAAGTGGATCGCGTAGAGTAGACAATAACTGGCTAAAACAGGGTATGGCGCGGTATGGACAGTGGCGAGAGAGGTACACTAAAACTCGAACAGCTGTTTGTTCGTTTGCTACCCGGGGGCGTATTGCCAATGAAGCTGTGAAACATGTGTTAAAATGAGATGAATTATTGGAGCACACACACACAGGAAGGACATCACATTCGAAGAGTCCGTGCGGTCATCGAGCAGTCTTTAGTGTTCATTCGTAGTTGTGGGCAGTTAATCGTGTTTAGCTTTCATGATCGCTGGGCCTGTTTTAAATAGACATTTATTAACGTTAAAATGACTTATTTGAATGCCTTTCTGTGAGACCGTTGAGTTGAACAGGCAGCGTAATATTTAGTTAAATTCATCAATAAACTGCCGTCTTCGCAGTGAAGGTTGGTTGGTCTACAAGTGGCTTGGTTGTGTTTCAGTGAATTTCTCTAGAGTGATTACTTGTATGAGAACTCACCCAAACCAAGGGTAACTGGGGTGCGGTCAGTCATTGGCTAGCGACTCGTGTTACAGAAGTTTGTCCTGGGAGATTTCTGAACATGCATTCATTGTCGAGTATATTCTCATTCACAAGCCCTGCTGTGAAAAGGCTTCTGGGCTGGAAACAAGGCGACGAGGACGAGAAATGGGCTGAGAAGGCTGTGGATTCTCTTGTGAAGAAGTTGAAAAAGATTAAAGGGGCTTTAGAAGATTTAGAGAAAGCACTGGCATTTAAAAGTCCTCATACGAAGTGTGTTACTATCCCGCGTTCGTTGGATGGTCGTCTGCAAGTCTCGCACAGGAAAGCCTTACCTCATGTTATTTACTGCAGAGTTTGGCGATGGCCAGATCTTCAGTCGCATCATGAGCTAAAACCTTTAGAGACATGCCAGTATCCGTTCGGTGCCAGGGATAAGGATGTCTGCATCAACCCCTACCATTACCGGCGTGTAGAAAGTCCAGTTCTACCACCTGTACTTGTTCCACGATACAGCGACATTCTAAGTCCCGGAGCCCTGCCTAGGTTCCAGCAGATCCCAGAGCCAAGTATGCCCCAGAATGTCACCTACCCCTTCCCGCAGCACCCTTCGCCAAGCACCCCCTGTCCAAGTCCAGAGAGCACCGTGGGGATAAACTATCAATGTGCCGACTCCACTCAACCAGGGCTTGCAGCTGGAGACCCCACACCCAGCGTTAACCTGGTATATGGAATGCCAGGTCTAAGAGTGCTTGCAGGTGCAGACGTCAAACCTGTTAGTTATCAAGAGCCTCTCCACTGGTGTACTATTGCTTATTATGAACTGAACAACCGTGTGGGAGAGCAGTTCAAGGCATCGCCCAGTAGCATTATTGTTGATGGCTTTACAGACCCTTCCAAAACTGATCGCTTTTGTTTGGGCACACTAACAAATATCAACAGAAATTCAACAATAGAAAACACTCGTAGGCATATAGGAAAGGGAGTTCATCTTTGTTATATCAAAGGCGAGATTTATGCGGAATGCATGAGTGACAGTAGTATCTTCATACAAAGCCGTAACTTCAACTACAGCAACAACTTCCACCCAACAACCGTCTGCAAGATCCTTCCAAACCACAGCCTCAAGATTTTTAACAATGAGGAGTTTGCCTCGCTGCTGAAACAGTCTATTAACCATGGATTTGAGGCTGTCTATGAACTCAACAAAATGTGTGTGATCCGCATCAGCTTTGTCAAGGGTTGGGGGGCTGATTATCACAGACAGGATGTGACATCGACCCCATGCTGGATCGAACTGCAGCTCAACGGGCCACTACAGTGGCTGGACAGGGTGCTCACCCACATGGGCTCACCCACGAATACCATTACATCAGTTTCATAAAAAGAGGTAGTCCCTGTGATGCTTTCGTTTGTGGTTTTAAAAGTTAATACAAAGACATGCTAACCCTTTCTACATATGGCCTCTGTTCCCAAGGGACGTAGTATGTTTGTTCAGTAAGCCAAGAAGAAAACATTAACTCATATTCTTCACGCAGAGATTATGTGATTGGCAGAATACCATGTTATTAGTCTCAATGAGATAAATTTAGAGACAAAAACAATTAACTTGTGTGCAAATATAACAAATGATGCTCTGTGTATTTTCATTGGCAAATGTTTATTAATTGATGGATGGGAAATGTAGAAACATTTGTGTGGGAGAGCAGTTCCAGGCATCGTCCAGTAGCCTTAAAAGTTGATCTCTTTATAGACCCTTCCAAAACTAATCGCTTTTGTTTGGGCACACTGACGAACACCAACAGAAATTCAACAATAGAAAACACTCATAGGCATATAGGAAAGGGATTTCATCTTTGTTATATAAGAGGTGAGATTTATGCAGAATGCATGAGTGACAGTAGTATCTTCATACAAAGCCGTAACTTCAACTACAGCAACAACTTCCACCCAACAACCGTCTGCAAGATCCTTCCAAACCACAGCCTCAAGATTTTTAACAATGAGGAATTTGCCTTGCTGCTGAAACAGTCTATTAACCATGGATTTGAGGCTGTCTATGAACTCAACAAAATGTGTGTGATCCGCATCAGCTTTGTCAAGGGTTGGGGGGCTGATTATCACAGACAGGATGTGACATCGACCCCATGCTGGATCGAACTGCAGCTCAACGGGCCACTACAGTGGCAGGACAGGGTGCTCACCCACATGGGCTCACCCATGAATGCCATTACATCAGTTTCATAGAACAAGGTAGTCCCTGTGATGCTTTGGTTTGCAGTTTTAAAAGTTAATACAAAGACATGGCTGACCATTTATATATACATATATGATTTCTGTCCCCAAGGGACGTGGTGTGTGTGTTCAGTAACCCAAGATGAAAAAATTAACTCATATTCTACATGCAGAGATTGTGTGATTGGCAAAAAAAACATTTTATGAGTCTTGGTGAAATAAATTTAGAGGCAAAAACAATTAACTTGTCTGTAAATATAACAAATAATCCTCTGTGTATTTTTATTGGCAAATAAATAGGAATTGATGGATGGGAAATGTAGAAACATTTGTGTGGGAGAGCAGTTCCAGGCATCGTCCAGTAGCTGAGTTATGAGTTGGAGTATCTTCATCGCACTCCTGACACATCCATAGGTACTCAGATTCCCCTCTCAGCATATTCATCAGCGTCATGGGGTTAATGGTGCCAGTCCTTTGCTGGCTGACAAGACTTTGTGTGCTTCTCATGCCTGGCAGTGCCGATCTTTACTACCAATTCTCTTATTTTTAGCAGTGATGTGGACACATTGTTTCCAGATTACTCAAAGCATCCTATCTCTCTTAGAGCATTGACAATGTCTGCGTGACCCGTGGGCCGGCCATCTTCAGTTAATGCGGCATCTGCTAATCTATTAGCTTTTTTCATTATCAACAACACCTGCATGCCCTGGGACAAATATGAAGGTAACAGCACACACAGGAGAGTTTTGCAATGACTCAATCCACTTTTTGCGTAACCATCCTGCCTTGACCGCCAGATCATGCTCATAAAACCACTCAGCACACAATGCGGGAATAGTCCCGGGATTCTAGCCAAATGAAAGCTTCTGTTACCACCATCACCTCATTGTCATGCTACTGGTAGTCATGGAGAAGGCACCACTGGCTTCTTGAACAGTTCTGCTTGAAGAGCGAGCTGCAAATGCCAATGCACTCTTATGTCCTCGTATAATGGACCCGTCTGTGAAAATCAGCACATATGTCTCATCTGACTTGTCATTGATAAGAACGCATACCTCAGCGTTGACAGCAGCAGGATTCTGTTTATGACAACTTCTATCAAGCGTCCAGTAGCATTATTGTTGATGGCTTTACCGACCCTTTAAAAACTGATCACTTTTGTTTGCGCACACTGATGAACATCAATAGAAATTCAACAAAAGACAGTACATGCTGGCATATAGGAAATAGAGTTTATGTTTGCTATATCAGAGGTAAGATTCATATAGAATGCATGAGTGACAGCAGAATCTTCATACAAAATCGCAACTTCAACTACAGCAACAACTTCCACCCAACAACCGTCTGCAAGATCCTTCTAAACCACAGCCTCAAAATTTTTAACGAGGAGTTTGCTCGCTGCTGAAACAGTCCATCAGCCATGGATCTGGGGCTGTCTATGAAAGCAAAATATGTGTGATCTGCATCGGCTTTGTTGACGGTTGAGGGGCTGATTATCACAGACAGGATGTGACATCCACCCTATGTTGGATCAAACTGCAGCTCAATGCGCCACTGCAGTGGTTGGACAGGGTACTCCCCCATGAATGCCATTTCATAAGTTTCATAAAACGAGGTAGTCCCTGTGATGTTTTGGTTTGTGGTTTTAAAAGTTTCTTAATACAAAGACATGCTAACCCTTTCTACATATGGTCTCCATCCCCAAGGGACATAATGTGTGTGTTCAGTAAGCCAAGAAGAAAACATTAACTCATATTCTTCACGCAGAGATTATGTGATTGGCAGAAAACCATTTTATGAGTCTTGGTGGGATAAATTTAGAGACAAAAACAACAATTAACTTGTGTGTAAATATAACAAATGATCCTCTGTATTTTCATTGGCAAATAAATGTATAGTAATTGAATGATAGAAATGTAGAAACACTCCTTAGAAACAAGTGTGTGATTTGGGGAGGGAAGGGGATGGGAATGTGTAAAAAAAAGGGTAAAAGTGTGTAAAAATATTTTTCAAAATATCCTTTAATAAGACTATATTAAAATATGTGATGCCACGTGTATTATGTTTAAATTCAGAAATATTCAATATGGTTTGACTTTATTTTTATATTTTAAAACAATTCTGACAGCTTTTAAAGAGTGTAATAATAACACAAATAATAATCAAATGTCTGTGCAACAACAAAGTAAGGGAGATGCTAGGTGCTGCCACAAACAACTCTGACAGAATGACAAAGGTTGTGCCAAATGTACATTTCCCAAATTTGTCCACTCCACATGGTATATATATATGTGTATAAATAAAAATAGATTTTGTTCCTTCAGTTTACTGCATTAAGAGAAAGAAATTAAGTAAAGGACCCTTTTATATTTTATAGACCAATCGGCACCTGATGAGTGATGTGGTCAGTATCACGCTGGTTGCCTTTGCTTCCATCGGACTTCACCTAGTACATACTCAAGGCTGGGTCGTCCTGGGAGCTTAGAATAAAGGAATGTTCGATTGAAGAATATTTAGCCTAACCTACATTCTGTTACATTTCCTCTGAAAAAGTAAATACTTGGACCAAGACTGTCTGCAGTCACTGTATGTCAGTCCTCAGATCTCAGCTATTCCTGCAGATCTCATGCCTGCAGATCTCCTGCCTGCAGATCTCCTGCCTGCAGATCTCCTGCCTGCAGATCTCCTGCCTGCAGATCTCCTGCCAGTTTTATTGTATTCATGATCTTTCTATGCTGGGGTCTGACCTGTGATGACCCCCATTTTCCTAAATTTTGACCTCTGAATATACTTCGTTTACCATGCTTGAGATATTCATATTTTAATCACTGTTTTAAGAAGAGCTATATGTATTTAAATGTACAAATTTTGGCATCGTGAGAAATTGTATACTAAAATAAATTGCCACAAAAAGCCATACACTGTAAAAATACTTAATTGATCAGCAGTTGTCCTTAGTTATTAATCTTCATAAGGCAGACAAAATGGGAAAAATACGCGAATTTTACAATGTATAATAAATCAACAACAAAAACAGGGAAGTGTCTATCAAGAATGGTCAAGTTTTGCACTTTTCGTGCTCAACTAGCATGACAGAGACTAAGACAAGTATCGAAAAATTCACAGGAACTTAAGACCCCCTTTTTTTTTTAAAGTGAATCCTGAAGTCTTTGAGTACCCAGGAACACACCATGTTTCCATTAATTAATAATTGATCGAATTATCTTTTGGAACTGAAAGAGGTATGCACTTCTTCCATCTTTTCCTCACTTATTGATTGTAGAATTTCTCCATCTTGGTCTTGTTCTTGTTTGCTGTCTGTAAAAAAGGTCTGGATTGTTTGTCCACCTCTGGACTTTAGCCTTGATCCAGAACCTGAATGTTGCATGCAAATCCATTTCATAGATCTGACTTCTTTGTATGCAAATTATTGGTTCCTTGCCTCTCATGCAAATGCACTCTGACTTGGAAGTAAGCCCCCAATTAGTTGACTCTTACAACATACTTGTCGGGGAGGCAGTGGATCTATTGTTTTCTCCACAATGGGGTCCTGGAACTTGCACTGGGACATTTTGGTCTCAAACTATGTCTCCAGTTCCAGAAATTTATATTCCTATTATGTTGTCACAAACAATGTCACTGTACATTGGGCATTCCCCTGCATGCTCAGTCCTCTAAAGCAGTAGCCATTTCAAGGTGCCTCTACGCTCCCATAAGGAGCTGGTTGTAATGAAATGTCCCCTTATCTCAGCCTCATAGGCAGCATAGACGTTTTTTATTATGCTTTACTCCCAAGTTAAGCAGTCATGTTAGTGTCACAGATTCGTTGTTAGCCATTAACCTAGGGGATGCCAGCCACCGTACTCACGGGACATGGAACCTAGTGTCATTTCTTGATTCCGAATGTATACAATCTAAGAATTGTGGGATAAAAAAAATTTTGGAATGATCGAGGCTTGAGATGTGGTTCTTGATTTAAAGATCTACTTCAAGAGCAACAGAAAGGGGAAGTACATTGTTTTGAGGGGTGAGTACTTAGACTGAGATGAAACTTTACACCAGTTTACAGACACACGCTTCGATTCCTCCATAACTGGGGGTCTCTATGACAGACTAACTAAGTGAGTTCTTTGCCTTATGCAGAAATTT